TGAACCCTTTGTGTCTCTCTGGCAAGATGTTCTGCTCCTGAATCAGCTGGATGAGTCTTGCCTCTAGCCTCTTTGCAGGGAGTTCTGCTGAAGGGTTCCGCACTGGGCCTGCGCTCTGGGTCGAATGAGGATCCGTGGGCCCCGGGCGGTCTTACTCACTCGCCGGGTCTGCGCTCTGGATCTATTCAGGATCCAGCGGGCCCTTGGTCGTCTCACTCACTCGCTGGGCCTGTACATTTTTTATTTTAGAGGAAGAAAAAATTTAAAAATATTCCAAACAATATACAATTTCAAAACAAGATGATAGGAAAACTGTGGTTGTTATATTGCATATTGTTGTCTTCAAAGTATTTGTTCAGATTACCAGATAGAAGCATGCAAAATTGGTCAAACATATTAAAACAAAAAGTACAACAGATATTGTAACAGAGAAAGAAACTGCTCAAGTGAACGAATGATGACAGATGAGAGAATAGAGGAAAGAAAGAAGGGAAGATAACTAAGATAATTGTACATTTTGTTTTCACCATTCGTGGTGTTATTCAGTGGTGTTTGTAGATGAAATTTTACTGAGACACTTCTTTCTTTTTTAATCTTTATTTGATACAGGGTTTTGCTACACAGCGGGACTCATAGTGATTATGTCTCACCTGCCCAGGGCCACTGTGCCCAGTTTTTGTGGCATGGCACTCCCAGGTTCCCAGGGGTTGGCATGGGATACAGTACCAGTGATCAGACCTGAGTCCTTGGGCTTGCTGGACAGGTGCTTGTATTGCTGAGCTGTCCCCCCACCCCTCAGACACTTCTTTCTTTTTTATGTAGTATTCTTTGAATACTAAGGCTCCTGGAGTATTTGGCTAATTGCAAATGGTAAAGTGTTAGTGTTCTAAAATTTTTTGGACATCTTGAGTCAAATTTGTCTTAGATTAGACCTAGATTGGTCTCAGAAAATGACTTTAAATGTGATGTTAGAATATGTAATTATAGGGCTGACCAGATAGCTCAGCGGACTAAAGCCTGCTTTGGCAGAGTGTAGCGGCTGGATTGTGCGAGCCCTGCCACCGGGTGCGTGGAGCCGGATTGAGGCTGGCCATGGAGGTGCGCGCCTGTAATGCCAGCACTTGGGAGGCTGAACACAGGAGGAGCGCTATGAGGCCATCTACGTAGTGAGACCCTGTAGACCCTGTAGACCCTGTCCTAAATTCATAAAAAAAAAAAAGAATATGTAATTATCACAGTGCCTGATCCAAGTGGGGTGAAGACACCTGTGCGTGAGAAAAGTTGCAGGTCTTCTGTTTACCGTTAAAGGATCTGAAGTAATTTAGTTTACTGCTTGCCACATGCTTTGTTTGACAGAGTGACAAATTCTTCTGTGAAAATTCTAACATTTTCTGGGTTTATGACCATTTATATATACAAGAAAGGTAGGCTTTCTAAAGCAGACAGTAAAGGCAGCAGTTAATTACAGTTTTCTAAATTGTTGGTGATCATTATGTATATGATATTTTGCAAAATACTTTGTAGGACATTGAGACTGTGATGGGTTTTAAATAACCTACTCAAGATTATATGCCTGTTAATTAGCAGAAGACTTTGTGTGATACTAGAACCAATCATCCTTTGACCTACCAACTTTATTCTCTTTTATGTGTAATTGAGTTTGCTAATGACTTTTTCAGGTGAAGAGGACAACGCTGGTTGATAGCAGAACATCTGTTACTGATGTGAAGTTTGCTCCCAAGCACATGGGCCTCATGTTGGCCACCTGCTCAGCGGATGGAATAGTCAGAATCTACGAGGCACCCGATGTCATGAACCTCAGTCAGTGGTCCCTACAGCATGAGATCTCTTGTAAACTAAGCTGCAGCTGCATTTCTTGGAATCCTTCAAGGTAAGCTTATGTATCAAACCTCTTGTGCTCTGGTAAAAGAAGGTAGTCATTTTTAAGGTAAGACTTTGATGGTATATTTTCTCAAAAAATGCTTTCTTAAATATGTTATTTGAAATGAATTCCCATTTTACCTTGTGATATCTCTTGTCCATATATTTTTACACCAAAGCGGATGGCAGGCCTTGTAAATATTTTGATGCAAGCTTTTTGAGAATTTTTTATGTATGTATGAATATATCCATAAACACAGACATATGCAAATATAGGCAGACACATAGAAGTGCATGGTAGGCTCTGGTGCTAGTATGCACTACTGAGTTATTATGGTGGTCATCTAACCTAGCCGAAGCCCTTAAAACAACAGATCTTCTCAAAGACCACTTTCCCCTTCTTCCCCAACCCAGTCCTGGATATTGTTTCTTTTCACTTTGCCTGCAACACAAGGGAGGCCCCAATCAACTCCTTAGATGTCATTAAACCTGCCCCTCAAACTCCACCCCTAGCAAGAATCCATAAAGCCTCAGCCTCCCATTATCTTGGATCAGAGAATCCCATCTCCCTTATGTTCTCTCCATGTCCTCAAAGATAATGAAGCTGCCCCCTTTCCTTTTACTTCTGTTTCTCTGCTTCATTGCCTTCGAAAAACCTATCACAACAGACATATGTAAACTCATACATTGTCCTTTTTCTTGTTTACAAAAACATTATGGGTATTTTCTCATATATGTGTATCTAGCCCTTTTCTGTCTCTCTCTCTCTCTCTCCCTCTTTTTTTTTTTTTTTGCGGAACCGGGGACTGAACTCAGGCCCTTGAGCTTGCCAGGCAAGTGCTTATTCTACTGAGCCATCTCCCCTGTCCTGTCATTCTCTTTTGATCTGCTCTGTAAATTGTGATTATATGCATATGCCAGTTACTTAATTGATTTGTAAAACTGTAAGAATCACTTGAAGAAAAAAAAAAAATCTCAATCCAGAAGAATTCAAAACAAAAGTCAAAGTTCTTTAGCCTCTAAAATAGTAATTCTATTCATAGCCTTTAATTCTGATAGTATTATGTTTTTTAATTTTTTACTTATACCCCTGGTTCTTGTTGACTTTTTTTTTTTTTTTTTTTTGTGGAACTGGAGATTGAACTCAGACCCTTGTGCTCGCTGAGGAAGCATTTATTCTACTGAGCCATCTCCCCGGCTCATCACTGGTTCTTGTTGTAGTTGTCTTTAGCATTTGTACTTATTGATATGAAAAGTGAATGTAGCAGTTTGAAACTTTCTGACTTCTGTGGTATGGTTGGTAGATATTTTGTGATAACATTGATAGTTTAAAATTTTCAAATTTATGTTGATATATCATCAAATTTTAGATAGTGATTTCTCATAAAAAGAAATTAGCTTAATTTTGCATATAAGGTGGTATGTTAATATTTACATATTTTAATATATTCATGTATATTTTGGCAAGCTTTATGTTAATAACATTTACATATTTTAATGTGCATCTATATTTTGTCTTTGAGTACTAGTTGATTCTAAAATTTGCAACCACATTTACAACATTAGATTATGTAAGTGTGCATTTTAGATGTAAATATAATCTGTTTTAGGTAAACTTTGTTTCTGAAGAAAAGACTGGTGTTATGTTCTGATGGCTGCTTTTACATTAGATGATGTATTATTATTATTATCTGAAACTTTACTAATAAAGAACCAAAACTTATTTTTTCAATTACCACTTTTTGTTTTTCTCTTAAGAGATATATCTTAAAAGAGATGTGCAAATCATAATGGTGAGGTCAAAGGTAAAGAGCAAGGGTGCTTTGTTCACAGAGACGTTAACCTGGATGAGGAAGGCAGAGAAAGTTGATAAACAGATAATTAGATGTAAAAACAAGAAACCATCTAAGTCATTGTTCACTTTAGTCCATGCTCGAGTCTTGAGAGGACTTTCTGGGCTGTTTTCTACTCTTCTTGCACATGTACTTCTCCTTGCCATACAAAGCATTGAAAACCTTTTGTCATGAAGTTGGCCTCAGCAGGGATCCTTTTATTTAGTAGATGTTTCAAGAGGAAAAGTTGCTAAGATGTCTCAGCATCAGTCTTTATTGAATACCTGAAACTTTATTTTGGGAAAAGGGTTCATTTCCAGCTGTAGAAAATGTAGTTTAAGGAATGAGAATGGTGGTGTCCCAGCTCTTGTATTTGACATTCTGAGACACATGCTTCAAGGTTTGGCTGTGCAGGTGGATGGCAGAGACATGGACATGATTCCCATCTGGGCTGCTATTCTAGTGCCTTGATTCCTGATGTGAAATGTTTGTTTTGTTTCTAGCTCTCGTGCTCATGCACCCATGATCGCTGTTGGAAGTGATGATAGTAGCCCAAATGCTATGGCCAAGGTCCAGATTTTTGAATACAATGAAAACATCAGGTAAGTATTGCCTCAGTGCTCGTTATGCTCAGAATTGCATTTGTTTTTTTTTTTTTTTCTCGGAACTGGGGATTGAACTCAGGCCATTGTGCTTGCCAGGCAAGCACTTATTCTACTGAGCTATCTCCCCAGCCGGCATTTAATTTTAAAACACCATTCCTTTGTTAGCAGAATTATAACTCATTTATTACATACCTATTGATTTCCTTTGCTGTGTGAACCTTGGGTAATGTGGGCTTAAGGAGAGGGGGATTGATCTTCTATGAACCATCTTGCCGGGGAAAGAAAAAATTATAGTTAAAAAAAGGGATGAATTTTATGAACTGACTTAATTTGAGGTGGTGGTAAAGAGTTTCTGTCTGGGGAACCTAATCACGGAAGGATTAGGGGACCAAGATGGTCCACTAAGAGAACGACCAACAGCAGGGTAGCTGTTAGTGAGATAGGCCTAGAAACAAGGGCAAGCTGAGCGCAACACCAGAGGCAGAGCTAGTGTGCTGAGAAGCAGGACAGCTCGAGGAGACCTGGAGCCCATGTTGCTGTGGCACCCGCAGGTCCCATGAATGAGAGTAATAACAAGAGGGTGGGCAGTATGTGTCGACATGAGCAGAGTCAGTTGAAGTGCTTTCTCCTCCAGGTGGGAGGAGACAGTGGTTTTGAGGGAGGACGGCAGCAGTGGAGATGAAGAGCAGTGGACCATTTGCAATAAGAAGTGGCTTCAGGTGTATCTGTGATGAATTGGAGGCGGGTAGAAAGCTTCAAGATGATACAAATGCTGTGCGCACATGTAGATTGTAGGGCGCATTCACTGTGTTAGGAATTTAGGTATCGTGAATAGGGGCTGTAGCTATAACATCAGCATTGTTTTGCAAATGAAGAGACCAACAGAGCAGAGTGACCAGAGTCTAATGTAGGTGTCAGGAGGAGAAACAGGATCTTTTTAATTTGTTCCTTAGTTTATTGTCATTCATTTCCTTCAGATACAAAAAGCCTTAAATTAATCACTACTAAAGTATATAGTTTATCTCAGGTAAGGGAAAAAAATGTCAGACCTTTTCAACAGCATGTATAAGGTCCAGGCAGAGGGGAAGCCTGAGTAAGACCCTGGGCATGGTGCCAGTCCAGGAGGACAGTGGAGATTGGTACAGATGTGAATTGTGCTTCCTGCCAGGCCTGCTTTGCTCCTGCCAGCGTTTGGGCTTCTGAAGGGTATGGTAGAATGACCTTCATGTACCTCGGGAAAGAGCTCTGGCAGCAGTGAGGAAAGGAGGAAAGCAGAGTGTAGCGTGTAGAGAGGGGCTGTGTGCTGAGCGGCCTAGGATGACCTGACCAAAGGGGCAGTGCCTCTGCTGTGTCACCAGTTGTGTGTCCAGGGGGTCTTGGTGAGGGGAATATGCTTACTAGGGCCACTCATGTGAGCACTTTGGGACACACAGGTGGGAAGATCTGTGAAAGGCTGGGGACTAGATATCTGTCTGGCTCTGTGACAGTCTTGGTGGCCTTCATTGGCTTATGGTCTCTGTGGGATGGAAGTCAGGCCCCACGGGGAAGGCTGATATGCCTTGGACGTTCCTTGGTGTCATTATCAGTGTCCTGGGCACAGTGCAGTCTGCTCTCGTGCTGCTGTTTCTTGCTAAAAGTGGCCAGAGTAGAGTTGTCCCAGGCACTGACCACAGGATGTGTGCTCTTCACTTTGCTGGGTCTGGTCTTGGCATCTAGGACTAAACTGCAGGTGAAACTGCAGGAATTTCTGGCTGTTGTATCAGTCAGGGTTTACTAGAGAAACTTAAGTTGGGAGTGGCTAAAGCTAGAAATTGATCATACACGAGAGGACAGGATGAGGCCTCGTTGCCTAAAGCAGTCAAGTTACCTCAGTCTTAAGAAAAACATCCTGCCCGGACATTGTGGGCTACTAGTTGCTAATCAACATTTTGTCTTGTAACTTTGCAAAGGTATAAATAAGGGGCGCGGAGATGGCTTAGTAGAATAAGTGCTTTCCTGGCAAGCACAAGGGTCTGAGTTCAATCTCCAATTCCGCCAAAAAAAAAAAAAAAAAAAAGTATAAATAAAAGCCCCTACTATTCTGGGGGCCTTTGCCTATCAGTCTTGGTTTACCACCTGATCTCAGCTATTAT